TTCTCCAACTTGGGAGGTAAGGAGCAGGTGTTTGGCTAGAGGGGAATATTTTATTGTCCGTTATTTCCTCACTCTCAGCATTAAAATCATAGATGGGGGAAGGGGAGGAAATAACACTTTAGCGAATGGAAATCTGAGAAAATATTACTTACAAGAACATACACATCCTTTGCAGGGAAGCTGTGCTGGAAATACACAGCTGAGAGCACCTGCAGAAGTGGTTCTCTTGCTTTTTTTCCCCTCTCTAGTTGCATTTTCCAGTTTGCACTCCAAGTATTTCTTGGTACAGTTGGATCCTTCTCTGAATCGTTAGCATCTCTGAATATTAATCATGGCTTATTCATCTTTATATGTCTCCAGAGAACCTCCAGAGCACTCTGCAGTGGGTGCTTGGCAGGTATTTGTTACACTGGGTGGATTTTAAGAGACATGGACTGAGCATCAAATTATGAGGGAAGGGATTTTAGCTTTAGGAGAGCTGGCCACTAGTGGACTTTTGGCTTACCAGCAACTCATTTTGGTCTTGACTTTTATAAAATCTCTAGTTTGCAACTGATAACATTCTGGAGTCCAACATCTGTTTTCCTTTGGGGAAATGTGAAATTACACATCAGGGATGCTCATGTACTCTAGAAATGCAGTAGACACCTCTCATTAAATATGCACAAATAAAACTGTTACTTAGAATAATGAAATAATGAAGTAGCAATAAGTCCCCCTAAATGTGATGCCTCATATATTTTCTCTTTCTACTTTAAAAAATGAAAATAAAAACCAACTATTTCCATCCAGTGCAAATTATTTCCTTGGAGGAACAGACATTAATTTTTCTGGAACATTTCTGGAATTTTCATCCTAATACATTTTAAAAGTGTTGTGAGATGAACTTCCTAAAGTGCCCAAGTTACTTTCACAGAAAAAAATTATATCCAAGTAGAAGTTTTCTGAATGTGTAAGAATTTACTCATTGTATATATAAGCTATATTAGTTTCTGCCCTTGTAAATATGTGGTTATATTTATTATTTGATATTTATCTTTGGAGCTTTATTTGTTTTTATTCTGTTGTTCAACATATCTCTAAATATTTAAATCATCTATCAAACCAGTCAATTCTAAAGAAAATCAAGCCTAAATATTCACAGGAAGGACTGTTGCTGAAGATGAAGCTCCAATACTTTGACCACCTGATATGAAGAGTCAACTCACTGGAAAAGACACTGATGCTGAGAAGGATTGAAGGCAAAAAAAGAAAGGGTTGACAGATGATGAAATGGTTGGATTGCATCACTGACTCAATGGACGTGAGTTTGAGCAAATGCTGAGAGATAGTGAAGGACAGGGAAGCCTGGCGTGCTGCAGTCCATGGGGTTGCAAATAATAGGACACGACTTAGCAACTGAACAACAGCCTGAGTACAAATATCATTATGTAATTAAAACCGAAGGCCTAAAATTCATGGACACGATTCATGGGAGAAATGCAGTATTTTGGAAAGAGGAGAAAAATGTTCACTAAGAAGAAAATTCATTTGGAATGTCCTTAAATGCTAAATAAGAAATCTGTGAATGCAAATGATAATAGTTAATTAATGTACACCACTGTCATCTAAAATGCCTCTCTATCAAAATGATCCTTTGAGATTAACCATGATGAAAAGGTTAAAATTATTGAATCCACGTTGCTTTAGAGATGGCATTTCGTGACATATATTGGGCTTTTTTTTTACTGAAATTGGTAATAGCAATAGTAATAATAACAAATGCTATCTAAGGGCACAAGACAGCGACCACTGAAGACAGAATGGCCAGCACAAACTTGAAGACTATTGGAGAAAGAGGAAAACTGCAAGAAAACTAGGTAGTCACCCTTTATTTCCTGATCTTGAAAGTCTGCAGTTCCTCAAAATATTCAACTGGTAGTATTGGTCTTAGACTGAGAGCCTAAGGGATTGTGGGATTAAAAAGCAATGGCCCAATATAAATTCCCACTAACAGTGTAGGAGGGTTCCCCTTTCTCCACACCCTCTTCAGCATTTAATGTTTGTACACTTTTGATGATGGCCATTCTGAGTGGGGTGGCAGGGGGTGGGGGAGTGCCGGGGGCTTCCCTTTTGACTCAGGCGGTAAAGAATCTGCTTGCAATGCAGGAGACCAGAGTTTAGTCCCTAGGTTGGGAAGATCCTCTGAAGAAGCAAATGTCAACCCAGTCCAGTATTCTTGCCTGAAGAATTCCATGGAAAGAGGAGCCTGGTGAACTTCAGTGTATGGTATGGCAAAAAGTTGGACATGACTGAGTGACTAACACTTATTTACTTATTCTGACCGGTGTGAAGTGATATCTCATTGTAGTTTTTATTTGAATTTCACTGCTATTGTGGAGAACAGTATAGAGAGACCCTAAGAATCTAAAAATAGAGCTACTATATGATCAAGTCATCCTATTTCTGGGCACACATCCAGAGAAAAGCAATGTTCTAAAGGACATATGCACCCCAATGTTCCTTGCAGCACTATCAAAACTTGTGAAGACATGGGAGAAACCTAATGGTCCATCAACAGATGAATGGATAAAAAGAATGAAATAATGCCATTTGAGGCCACATGGATGAACCTGGAGATAATCATACTAAATGAAGTAAATCAGAGAGATAAAGACAAATATCATATGATATTGCTTTTATGCAGATACAAGAAATGTCACAAGAACTTATTTACCAGACTCAAACTTAGAGAATGAATTTATGATTAGTAGGGGATAACTGCTGGAGGAGGGTTAGCCTGAAAGACTGACATGTATACATTGCTACATTTAAAACAGATAACCAACAATGATCTACTCTGTAGAATCTCTGCTCTACACTCTGTAATAACCTAAATGGGAAAAGAATTTGAAAAAGAATAGATAAATGTGTAAGTATAACTGAATCACTTTGCTGTGTATCTGAAACTAACACAACATTGTTGATCAACTATGTGTGTGTCTATGTGTGCATGTGTGTGCTCAGTCATGTCCTACTCTTTTCGACCATGGACGGTAGCCTGCCAGGCTTCTCTCTCCATGGAATTTTCCAGGCCATAATACTGAAGTGGGTTGTCATTTCCGTCTCCAAGGGATCTTCCCAACCTACATCTCTTTTGTCTCCTGTATTAACAGGCAGATTCTTTAGCGCTGCACCAGCTGGGATTCCACTATACTCCAACATAAAATTTTACTGAATTTAAAAATAAATTTTTAAAGGGAATGACCTTCAGCAATAGTAACTTCTTCCCAGATGTTGTGGTATTTCAGAATCCACTAGGGGTCATTGAGGACCCCAACGATCATTATAATCATTACAACCATAAGTGAGAGCTGACTCTCAGAACGTGCTTCACCCTCCTCTCCAATGACTCCAGAGGGTGCTCCAGGCAGAGGGCAACGGGCATCATTGCAGGCCAATTCTGGCATTCTCAGGTTCAGTGCTCCACCAAGAACCTGAGTCCAGTTCAGGACCCTCCTGATTCCCTGAAAAAGTGATTAAATCTCTTGGCAAGGATACAAGAAAACATCCGCTGCTTGTCCTACACAGAGGTGCCCCTGCTATCCTTGGCATGCATCCTTGTAAATTTGAGGTAGAAAGCAGATTCATTTTTCATTGATGTATTCATTAATTTGCCTAGGAATAAAGGGGAAGGAAGATGCTCCTGTCCCTACAGTAGAACTTTTAATCATTATCAGTAGTGGTTAGAAAGTGTTTCCAGTAGTCATGTATAGATGTGAGAGTTGCACTACAAAGGAAGTTGAGCGCCGAAGAATTGATCTTTTTGAACTGTGGTGTTGGAGAAGACTCCTGAGAGTCCCTTGGACGGCAAGGACATTCAACCAGTCCATCCTAAAGGAGATCAGTCCTGGGTATTCACTGGAAGGACTGATGCTGAAGCTGAAACTCCAGTACTTTGGCCACCTGATGCAAAGAAGAGCTGACTCATTTGAAAAGACCCTGATGCTGGGAAAGATTGAAGGCAGGAGTAGAAGGGGATGACAGAGGATGAGATGGCTGGATGGCATCACCGACTCAATGGACATGAGTTTGAGTAAACTCCGGGAGTTGGTGATGGCCAGGGAGGCCTGGCAAGCTGCAATCTATGGAATCGCAAAGAGTCGGACACGACTGAGTGACTGAACTGAACTGAGTGGTTAGAAAGTCGTTGGATTTTCCTTTTTTTTCTCTCTTTTTTTCTGCTAGAGTTGATAATTTGAGGAAAGAAAGAGGAGGGACAAATAAAGTTGCAGTCACAATGCCACTCACATAATAACACCAATTTGCACCCTTCCTCCCAAAAAAGTCATCTTTTTCACCTGCAATTTCTGAGAATGATAGTATGTCAGGACCAAGGGTGGTGAGTGGCTGTTTTAAGAGAAATAAATATAAATATAGGTATTTATGGGTTTCCCTGGTGGCTCAGCTGGTAAGAATGCGGCCTGCAAGGTGGGATACCTGGGTTCGATCCCTGGATTGGGAAGGTCCCCTGGAGAAGGCAAAGGCTACCCACTCCAGTATTCTGGTCTGGAGAATTCCATGGAGGAAGTCCATGGGGTTGCAAAGAGTCGAACACAACTGAGCAACTTTCACGTCACTTCACTCATGGGTATTTATCATGTTCGTATCAGTTTAGCTGAAGGAAGAAGTGAAGTGTGGGTACATTATTTTTTTAATCTTACGGGGGGGAAATGAGTTAACGCTTTCAACCTGGCAGTCATAAAGCAAAGCAAAGGAAGTTGCAGTCATCCAGGATTCAGTGACAGATTGTGGGCGCGGAGGAAAAGCGCGCTGGGGAAAGCGGGGAGCGCGCGGCTCGCACACAAAGGCGAGGAGTTCCCAGGCCTCCCGCGGCCCTGCTCGGGGACACCGCAGCGGCGCGCCAGCGGCCCGGCCCCTCAGCTGGAGGCTGGGAGAAGTTAGTCACCCGAAACCCTAGCCTAGCGGGCATCCGAACGCGACAGCGAAGACTCTGGGGAATGTGGAGGGAGGAGATTAGTACCGGGAGCGCGGGGCGAGGGGGTGCACGGGAAGCCGAAAGCCCGTGGCTGGTGGATGCTGCTGCAAGGTCTGCGAGGCCGGCGCGCACCGGCGTGCAAAGAGACGGGGGAAAAACTTGCGGCAGGAACTTCCTACCGAGGCAAAGAAAAGCAGACGAGAAGGAGGCAGGGAGAGACTTAAAACGTCTCAGTAACTTGAAAAGCACACCCAAAACACCCCTTCTGGAGATGAGGTAAGCCGAGGTTAGCCAACCCCATTGGTTGTGAAATATCAGACAAACCCCGAGCCTCTGCGGCTTTAAATGAGGCCAAGGAAATCTGTTTTGCTTCCTCAAATACTTTTTTCTCCCACTTCGCCCTTGCTCTCTCCCTCCTCCCTCCTTCCACCTCGCCGGGTCCCTTCCTCCTCCGCGGTCGCCCTTTCCTCGATCAACCCCCCACCCCCACCCCACCCCAGGCCCGCCCTCCCCCATCTGATTAGGCGCGGACCAGGAAGGGTGGGAGTGGTGGGGGAAGCTCTCCCTTTAAGAGGCAGCTTGCAGTGACGAATTGTTGAAATTGCCATTGCAGGATGGCATGCCGCTATAAATTCATTGTTCCACCTCCTCGCATCTTCACAGCGCTCGCGCTGCTCTCGGCGCTCGCAGCGGCAGACTGGGGATGACGGCGGGCAGGAAGACACCGCATCCGAAGGGACCCAGACGCGCCGCTTCGCTGGCTCGCCGCAGGCCGCCCCTGGCATTTTTGTTTTAATTTTTCTGCCTTTTTCCCCTCTTCTCCTTCCCTTCCGGCCGGTTCCAGTAGAGTCAAGGAGACCCCCAAATAAGAAAGGAAGCCGGCTCCGGAGCTGGGAACCCCGCGACCGGCGGGTCGGGAGCAGCAAGGAGCCTGGAGGAAAGCATGCACCAGTCTCCAGCCTGGTGCGCGGCACCTTCCTGACTTTTTTTGGTGCCCCGATCCTGGCTGCGTTGGGTTCCCCCCCCCCCCAACCCTTTTCTAGTACTTGCTGAATCTCGGCAACCCGGCTTTTTTGTGTGTGTGTCTTCCGCCCCCCCCCCCCCTTTTCTTTCCTTCCTCCTCTTTTTGGAGCCCGAATCCAAACATTTTCCAAAGCAACAAAGAAAAGTTCGCACGCTGGCATCGCGGCCGGGACAGGCTGGCGCTGCTACCGGCTTCCCCCTCCCTCCGACACTAGATTCAACCTTGCAAGCAAGTGTATGTGTGTCCCCACCTCCCGCCCCGGTAACTTCCAGAGCTAATAACAAATAACCCACCAAGTCCCCGCCGGCGCGCAGCCCCTCCCCGCGGGCAGCGCACTATGCTGCTCGGGTGGGCGTCCCTGATGCTGTGCGCGCTCCGCCTGCCCCCGGTGGCCGCCGGTCCCGCCGAGGCACCTGCCCAGGATAAAGCCGGGCAGCCTCGGGCTGCTGCTGTGGCTCCGGCCGCCCAGCCCCGCGGACGGCGGGGGGAGGAGGCGCAGGAGCCGGCCGAGCCTCCGGGCCACCCGCACCCCCTGGCGCCGCAGCGCGGGAGCCACGGGCTCGTGCAGAACATCGACCAGCTCTACTCCGGCGGCGGCAAGGTGGGCTACCTCGTCTACGCGGGAGGTCGGCGCTTCCTCCTGGACTTGGAGAGGGACGGTTCGGTGGGCACCGCTGGCTTGGTGCCCGGAGGAGGCGGGCCGAACGCGACCCAGCGCCACCGGGGCCACTGCTTCTACCGCGGCACGGTGGACGGCAGCCCGCGCTCGCTGGCCGTCTTTGACCTCTGCGGCGGCCTCGACGGCTTCTTTGCGGTCAAGCGCGCGCGCTATACCCTGCATCCGCTGCTGCGCGGTCCCTGGGCGGAGGCGGAGGAAGATGCGCGCGTCTACGGGGACGGGTCCGCGCGGATCCTGCACGTCTACACCCGCGAGGGTTTCAGTTTTGAGGCTCTGCCTCCTCGCACCAGCTGCGAGACCCTCGAGTCCCCGCCAGGCGCCCGCGAGCGCCCCCCGGCGCCCCGCCGCCCGGACGGACGCTGGGCTCTGGCCCCGCAGCAGCTCCCGGGCCAGTCGGCCCCCTCGTCCGACGGAAGTCAGGGACCACGGACGTGGTGGCGGCGGCGGCGCCGCTCCATCTCCCGGGCCCGCCAGGTGGAGCTGCTCCTGGTGGCCGACGCGTCCATGGCGCGGATGTACGGCCGGGGCCTCCAGCATTACCTGCTGACCCTGGCCTCCATCGCCAACAAACTGTACAGCCACGCCAGCATCGAGAACCACATCCGCCTGGTCGTGGTGAAGGTGGTGGTGCTGAGCGACAAGGACAAGAGCCTGGAGGTGAGCAAGAACGCAGCCACCACGCTCAAGAACTTCTGCAAGTGGCAGCACCAGCACAACCAGCTGGGGGATGATCACGAGGAGCACTATGACGCGGCCATCCTGTTTACTCGGGAGGTAGGTCCCGCCTGGGTGAGTGGTTCAAGCCCTGCAGTAAGGAGGTAGGTCAAAGGGGCGGCCTTGTTGACAGCCTTCTTTCTGCCACCAACTGCCTGGCCCCATGGGTTTGCTGACCTGTTCCTTGCAGGAAACCCATGACCGCCTCCCACTGTGCTCCTGTATTCAGAGGATACAGTCAGCAGTTAATCAAACCTTAAATGACCATGTCGGGCTTAGACATCAATCCATCAGTTAGGATGTCTCCAGTCCGAGATCTGGTACCATAGAGGCGTAAATAGGATAAAATGGGGCTAGCATGCTTGGGGAAATGTGCACGGTTCCCATGGGGAAAAGGGGAAAGCTGAGTCTGTCTTTCGAATCAGGAGTCATCTACTTTACAATGAACCCAAAGGTAGAACTTTGGCTATCCTGATGGAAAGGGTTGTGATGGGTGATTCACTGTAGTCACTTTTATCTACCATCTTCCTCTGTAAATGCCCAACCTTCTCTCTTGAACCTCTTTCCGGGGATAAGTCAAAGGAAGACTTTCTAAAGGAAGGATTCATTTTCTCATCTGGCTTTCTAATGGAGTTCTTACATATCCACTTTGGTAGAAACTTGGTTCCTCGGATGGAAGAGATGCGGGAGGGCCAGGAGGGTATAGAAACCAGTCTTGTGAGGTTCCTTAGCAACGGCTTTGCCTGGTCCTTCAGTGCACAGCAGGCTCTGCTAGGTTGTCCACAGCTGCCAGTCAAGAGTCACATCCAACTCGCATGTTTGGGTTTTGGATGAATGTTTCTGAAGTCCCAGAGCGGAAAGATCTGGGCAGAGAGTCAAGACATGAAGGAATGTTTTTCCAGGATTTCCCTCTTTTAAGGACGGAGGTAAAATGGGAGGGGGAGAAAAATGATCTTTATAGACTCAGAGGTTCTGGGAGTAACCCAGTACCTATGTAGACCACCACAAAAGTGTGACATTCGGATACATAGTCCGAGATGGTTTTGTGCTGGTTTTGCTGGGAGCTCTGAGCCTCAGTTTTCACAACTGTCCTCTGATTGTCAGTTTTGAGTCATGCTCTCAGATATCTGGTAAGAATGGACCTTGATAGCACATTCTTTAAGTGTTTGGGATCCATCCAGGATAGATGAAGGATTAGAAACTTTGGAATATTATGCAAAATCATGGTACAAAAGGGAACGAACAGAAATAGGACAGGAAATTCAATGACAGCTTGCAGGAGGTTTCAGAATCACACAGTTCCACCACCTAATTCTCCTATTTTTACTAAGGCACTCCTGGTATGACGGAAAAGTGTTGATAAATTTGGAGTGAAGAAACACTTGTGGTTCATGGGGTGGACATAAATGTAAACCACATGTAAATAAAGACGCTGGAGGGCAGCAGTTAGGGACGCGGTGCTTTGCAAGATGGAAAATCTTTCTCTTCATTAAGTGATCTCCTGGACACCATCCTTTAATTTTTCTGCACAACAGTGATCTTTAAAATGGAAGAGCATTCACTTTTGTAGCCTTCCATATGAAGTGAAGTTCTCCTGTAAAACTATCCCTTTCTTATTTGGTTTCCAGGTTGTTTTTTTTTTTTTTTGGTAAGCAACTTTCCGTGTCTGGATTTCTTGCTTTGCTACATCACTAGAGGCTGCCAAGAAGGAGGCTTCAGAGAGTTTATGGAAGGAAGTTCTCCAAAGTCAGAAGAAAAAATACTTTTGTAGGCATACTACTCCAAAGTATTCCCTTTGAATATTGTCATGGTGCACTTTCATTTTTAATACAAACGCAGATTCCATAATTTTTTTTAAATAAACATACATAGGAGACCCCATGACTCCCTAGTTTCTGCCCTATAATTTTCCTAATTGCGTCTTAGAATAAAAAGAAAAAAAGTAAAACTAGTCAGTGATTCTAAATGATTTGTCTGTTGCCTTTTCTGGATTTGATTTGAGTAGTTAACAATTCCTATTCTCCAAGCTTTGGAATATATCAGTACCTTTTAATAGATAAGGAAGGAATAAACTAACATCTATCTTCATTTTAATAAGTACTATAAGGACATTCATTTTTCAAGCTAGTCTACACATGGGAAATATTTGACATGGGCCCTCCCTGGCCTCCTTGCCAAGGAGCAGCGGTAAGTAAATCTCATTTAGCTGGTGGCTGGCCCTCTGGTATATACATCTAACTTGATGAGAACCAAATATTTAAAAAGCATGTTATCATGGTTATATGCATCTAATTTTAAAAAGCACTATTAATTAAGGAGCTGAGAAGAATATTGCAAGATTCTCACACAGCATTCACTGGGGAGTACTTTAAAATACAATGTCAGTCTCTGGTTATTACTTCAGAGTGTGGAAACCAAGAGGAACTAAAGGAGAAATGATCTGAAATCTTCAGTTTCATGGAAATCAGATATCTGGGATCTAAAGAAAAACTTTCATGGCTATTTTTTTTCAATGAGAAATACCCGGAGTTGGCACCAGGATCCCACTTTTACAACTCTGTTTTGAATGTAAGAAGTACGTTGCTTAGCAGCCAGACGCCAAGCCGTGAAATCCATGTTTTGATGGGCTCTGAACACTGTTCAAATTCTGTGTCCAGATGTCTTCTCCTAAATTGCTTGTTTTTCAGGCATAAAGCAAATGTGTGAGGATATGTTTTCCACCCCTGTTGACTAGCCAAGGCCACCTTGAATGCTGTGTCTAGGAGTCAGCAGAATATTGCTGGTAATTCATTTATCAAACTAACAGACTTCACTGTTAGGACTGTACCCCAGCACTTGGCGCTGTCCTAATTAGAGAAACTTAGCACCAGCCACTCTTTTTTTGCAAGAGGAGCAGTTTTCATTCCGGAGTGGCACTTACACTGGAATTCACACCACTTCTTCCATCAAACAGTAGAAATCCGATCGCCCTAGGATTTATTTTTGCCTTGCAGAATTCTTTTCTGGTTCTTGGCTTCCTTTTTTTTTTTTTTTTTTAAAGATAGTTTTTCTAAAGACAAACTCCTAAATCCATTTTGGAGGCCATGCTATTTTCTTTAGAGATAAAACACCTACCTGCTTGAGAACAAAGTGGGAAATAGTTTGTTTAGTATTTTCTGCCCTCTACACATCATCAGTGAAAGCTTGACTTTTTCATGGATTGGAAGTGTTGGATTGAAACTGAACCAGCTATCAGACCATGGAATAGAAACAGTTCATTCATTCTCATGAATCATCATTGTGCCAGTTAACAGGTAACTGTCAGTTAACACCTTGCTCCTGTAATTGGTTTTATTTTTTAAGTATTTTTTATATTGGTGTTAGTTTCAGGCATACAGCAAAGTGATTCAATTATGCAAATACATGTATCTGTTCTTTTTTCAAACTTCCTTTCCCATTCAGTCTATCACAGAGTGTTGAGCAGAGTTCCCTATGCTACGCAGTGGGTCCTTTTTGGTTATCTGCTTCAAACACAGCAGATGTTGAACATCTGATGTATGTACGCCATGTACATACATAGCATATGTATATGTCAATCCCAAACTGCCAATCTCCTTTCTTCCTTGTAATGCTGTAAGGCTTTATAAGAGGGACTCTTACGCTGGAATGGGGACTCCACTCAGAATTATTAGCTAGCTTCTTGCAAGGTTATCATAATAGGGGGCCCTAGAAGAAGATTGGGAGCTTGGAAGAGGGAGAAGAATGAGCTTTTTCTTATTTGCTTGTAGGCTAGATTAACTGATTCTGTCACACATTTGAGTTCAAATCCCATTTAAACTGAAAAGGGAAGCCTTCTCAAAGAATCATAGCCAATAGGTCAATTCTAACTGGTAAAAAGCTAAATAACTCAGAAATGGGAAGACGGGGCAGCTTCAGCAGCTCAAGTTGATGTTTAAATAATAAATTATGAATTAAAAATTGCTGAGAGTGGGTCTTAAAAGTATTGCATCAAGAGGGAAAAACTTTGTGATAGATGTTAAGTAGACTTACTATGGCGATCACTTTGCTATTGAATCATTATTTTGTACACCTGAAACTAACATAATGTTGTAAGTAAATCATGTCTAAATTAAGTAGTTATGAAGAATATTCCACAAAATCAAAAGCCATTAGATCAGAGACAATAAACCATAACACAGAGGATATATTTCAGTGTCATCTCTCTTTTATTCAGCTCATGCATCTGAGCATGTCCTATTTGTGAGACTCTCATTTAGGGAGTTGAAGGGAGTAAGAAAATATCTTATCCCTGCCTACTCTGGCTTGTCACCAGGGGAGAGGAAGCAGATATATGCATATTGTCGTTTAGTCGCTAAGTCATGTCCAACTCTTTGTGACCCCATGGACTGCAGCTCGCCAGGCTCCCCTGTCCTCCACCATCTCCCATCATCCACCATTTGAGTTTGCTCAAATTCATGTCCACTGAGTCAGTGATGCTATCTAACCATCTCATCCTCTGCTGCCCTCTTTTCCTCCTGCCTTCAATCTTTCCCAGTATCAGGGTCTTATTCCAATAAGTCGGCTCTTTTCATCAGGTTGTCGAAGTATTGGAGCTTCAGCTTCAGCATCTGTCCTTCCAATGAATATTCAGGACTGATTTCCTTTAGTATTAGCTGGTTTGATCTCCTTGCCGTCCAAGGGATTCCCAAGAGTCTTCTCCATAATTCGAAAGCATCAATTCTTCCAGCGTTCAGCCTTCTTCGTGGTCCAAATCCCACATCTGTACATGACTACTGGAAAAACCATTGCTATGACTATACAGACCTTCATTGGCTTACGTATATGTATATGTGCTGGGCCTGCAAGCTAAGTTGTTTCAGTTGATGCAGTGGATTATAGCCTGCCAGACTGTCTGTCCATGGGATTCTCCATTCAGGAATACTGGAGTGAGTTGCCTCGCCCTCATCCATATCTTTTCAATCCAGGGATGAAATCCACCTCTCTTACATTGGCAAGCTGGTTCTTTACCACTAGTGCTCCCTGGGAAGCTCACATATATGCATATATCATTCTAATATTAG